ATTATATAATTAAAGATAAAACTTATTATAATATATTACATATTTATATAATTAATTTAAAAAAAAATTTTTTAAAATATTAATTATTCATAAAAGTAAATCAGAAGAGAATTTATAATAAATAAGCAGGCAAATTTGTTTGTAAAACCCTACAATTTAAGGAATAAGGTTCATTAATAAAAAATTTAAATATTATCTAAAGTATTTAATAAATTTAATTAAAAATAAATTAATATTAATATTAAAAAAATATTTAAAATTGTAAAATAAAAGAATAATAGTAATTAAGAGGCGTATTAGAAATCAGCTGATTTAAAGGGATGTTGGAGATTGATCTTATATCAGATTTTTATAGTCATGTGATATATATAATATAAGATCATTGATCAGTTTTTTCAAACCTAAAATTTTTGTCTAAAGTCGATGTATTTATATCATTTGAATGACTGGAAAAGAGAGAAGATTTTATACTTTTGGTAAAGAACTGACCAATTTAGAAAGGTTTTGACTAATACTATAAAAAAATTTCTTTTATATAATATTGATATTATATTACATTATCACAGAGTCTAAAATTATAAATTTTTATTATGTAATCAATTTTACGTCATTGTAATCATTATAAAACTGTCTGTAATATAATCCAAGTCACAATTTCTCAATCTTTCAATCTTTGTCTGATTGAATTTTATGAGGAATCTGTTCAACCTTTTGCCACGAATCTCTCCTTGGAATTATATCTTCAGTAATGTTATAATTTCGATTTAACGAAACAAGCACACAATCTATTTCTGACTCATTAGCTTGTTTCTGAGCATTTTTTTGATTGATAATCTTTATAAAAGGTTAAATACAGTAAGACTTTTCTAAATATAAATGCATGTATTATATATTTTTTCTATAATGTATATTTTATACAACTCCAAGTATATATAAATCATATAAAATTTCTCCCTTTAAATACACACCTTCTTTAAATACATATTTTTTCAAATTTTCACTATAATCCTAAGGGGATGTACTGCTTAAATTATAATGCATATTAAATTGAAGAGATGCATTTAGAGAGGTCTTATTGTAATATTTATTTTAATTTATCTATCTTGTAAATTCTATATTCAAAGATGTTTTTTTTTATAAATACAGTGAGACCTCTCTAAATGCACCCCCCTTGGGACCAAAGTGAAAATTTGAAAAAAATGTGCATTTAAGGAGGGTGTGCATTTAAAGAGAGAAATTTTGTATGATCTTTATATACTTGGGGCTGTGTGGAATGTGCATTTATAGAAAAAATATATATGCGTGCATTTAGGGAGGGTGCATTTAGAGAGGTCTCACTGTTCTTTATTTTTAAAAAAAAATATTTAAATTAAGATTTTTATTATCTTATATATTAAATTTTTTTAATTAAAAGAATAAAGTAAATTTCTATAAAGTCTTATATTTAAAGTTAAATAATTTAAACTTTTGTGCGCGTAATTCGTAATACATATATTTATTTAGATTACATCACTGTGATACCTTCAATCTTGTGATATGTCATTGAAACGCGTACTTTTCCTGCGGGTCGAACAAATAATAAACAGGTTATTTTTTCCCAAGCACTTAATTATACAAATTTTTTTTTTTTATTTTTTAAAAAAAAAAAAAAAATAAAAATTAAGGATGACACGAGGAATTTCTTTATCGCAAGACTTGTCATTTTTAGTTAATAATCCAAAATATAGTGATATTGAAATTCATTGTGGAGATGGAGTCAAATTATATGGATGTCGAGCTTTATTAGCAGCACGTTCAGAAATATTTGATGGACTGCTCTATAATGGAATGAGAGAATCTTTTGACAATAAGATATCCTTTCCAGAAATTAGTTCTTCGGTGATGGAAATAGTTCTTGAATTTTTATATACTGGATGTGAAATGGAGAATTATTTGAATCATGACAATATAATCGAAGTATATCATGCAGCAGATTATTTTCAAATGTTTGATTTCCGGGATTCAATTTTCAAACTTGTTAAAGTAATTCTTAATGTAAATCAAAAACAAACTTGTGCACCAGAATTCTTAACAAGAGCGGTTTCCAAGATGTCTGCATCGGCCGATTGTGAATTTATGGATTTACTGGTTGAATCAGTAGCAAAAATTCATTTAGAATCTATTGGACCTGACAGATTTTCATTAAAAGCATTACAATGCCTTTTATCACACACTCAAGACGATAAAATGATTCCTTTCGCTACTCCCGAATACTCTGTACTCCGATATTCATTGATTCGAGTAGCAGATCAAATATCCAAAGACGCAACTTCAATACTTGAAGGATATTTACCATCAAAGAAGAGGATCGCTGAACATCCGATCCAAATTGATACAGCAGATAATCCAAAATATATTGAAATTCTTCCACAATTAATTCAAATGTTTACACCTTTACTTGATTATATCGAACTTTGGCGTATTAACGTAAAAATCTTGGAAGACATAATTGAACCATTAGAAATAATTCCAAGTGATGCAATGATGCAAGTTTATCGTCACCAAGCTAAAAATAAATCAATACCTGATACACGTGGAATTCCATACATATGCATTGAAGATAATGTAGAAATTGTTTGTAATATCGATCTCTGTGAAGAATATGTATGGGATAGCAATTTCTGTGGGTCACAACTTATAATAGACGAAAAAGAAGAAACTATTGTTACAGCAATACCAGAATGTGATCAGAATCAATGTGTGAAGGCTAAAATTGCTATAACCGATAAGGGACAATATGAATGGGATATCATCATCGAAAAAATGTGTAATAGTGTATGGATAGGAATCATGTCCGAGGAAAACTTTAATTACAACGAATTTGCTGGTGACCAATCGAATGGATGGGTTTACGGCTCTCATGGTGTTTGCGCTAATAATAAAATTAATGTATTGTATGGCTCGCCATTTTCGGTTGGAGATAGGATAACGGTTCATTTAAATATGAATAAACGAATTTGTGCTTTTTCGGTCAATGGAAAAAAGCAATCAATATTTCCGGCTTGGAATAATCTTCCTTCAAAGCTTTATCCTGTTGTATCATTTTCGTATCCTGGTCGTATTCGTATAAATGCTCCACAACCTCGAGAAATTTATGAATTAGATTAAATAGTAAAAGATGATTTAATTACTAATTACAAATTAATAAAGTTGTTATCACGATATCTTTCCTTATATAGTAATTACCCGAATATGTCGAAAATGCATTACACCAAGTGGTTTTTCCGGAGACAATGTTCAAATTTGTTAAAGCTATTTAATTTGCAATTTCACACAAACTACCGTATTTATCAAAATTTTTATCGATTTTTTTTTTTTTTTTTTTTTTTTTTTTTTTATACAAAAGATGGGAACTAAAAAATTCAATCATTTCTTTGTACTTGCTTTTTCTTGTTTTTAAAAATTTATTTACGAAATATTAAAAATGACTCAAAAAGGTATTTATTAAAATAATTAAAATGTTTGATAAATGAATTTATAAATTTATAAAAAATTTTTTTTTTCAGACGTATATATCGCTGCTATTTCAAGAACTCCACTTGGAGGTTTTAACGGATCTTTAGCGTCATTATCTGCCATAAAATTAGGTTCAATTGCTGTTGAAGGTAATCAATCAATCAATAATTATATTAACTTAAAAAAAAACGGCACAAATTCTTTTATTAATTGAAAAAAAAAATCTATAGCTGTTTTAAAAAAGGCTAAAATTGAAACTAATAGCGTTCAAGAAGTCTTTTTCGGGAATGTTCTTTCGGCCAACCTTGGTAATTCATTCAATTCATCCATCGCATCGAAGTTATATTAAGCTGAATTTTTTTTTAAATTTTAACATAAAAAATTCTCATTTATAGGTCAAAATCCTGCTCGTCAAGTTGCTCTTGGTGCAGGCCTTCCTGATACCGTGATTGCTACTACTGTCAATAAAGTATGCGCTTCCGGTATGAAAGCTGTAATTTTAGGAGCTCAAACGATTATCACTGGTAATGCTGATGTGAGTTCACGAGCGATTAGTTCATAGCATATTTTTTTTTTTATTAACAAAAAAAAAATTCGATATTATTAGATCGTCGTTGCGGGTGGTACGGAATCAATGACAAATACTCCATATTACGTACCTCAAGCTAGGTTTGGATCTAAATATGGAGATCAAACTCTGGTTGATGGCATAGTTAGGGACGGTTTAACAGATGTATATAATAATTACCTTATGGGTGTTGCTGCTGAAGAATGTGCAACTGAATACAAATTTACTCGCGAGGATCAGGTAAACAAATCAAAACCTTAATATTTATTTTAATAAATTTTAATTTACACTAATGTTAATTTTGTCTTTTTTTTTTTTTTAAAAAAAAAAAGGATAATTATGCAATCTCTTCTTATCAACGTGCACAAGCAGCTTTTGCTAATGGACATTATGCTGATGAGATTGTTCCCATAACCGTTCCAGGAGGTAGGGGCAAACCTGATAAAATTATCACTCAAGATGATGAAGTTTCAAACGTAAGAAAAATTAGAGTTAATATTTAATTCTATATATTGGAAACTAACAAAAATTTTTTTATTATAGCTTAATGTCGATAAATTACGCGTAGTCCGTCCAGCTTTCTCGGAGAAAGGGACAGTGACCGCACCAAATTCTTCACCATTAAGTGACGGAGCTGCAGCAATTGTTTTAATCAGTGGTGAAAAAGCAAAAGAATTAGGCGTCAAAACCATTGCAAAAATTAGTGGATGGGGTGATGCCGCTCAGGTAAATAATAATTATCCATAATTTTTATCGTAGTCATTCCCAAATATTCAAAGATTTCTTCAATACCTTTCTTTATAAGGCACCATCAAACTTTACCACTTCACCTGCGTTGGCAATTCCCAAAGCATTGGCACATGCAGGAAATATTCAATTGTCACAAGTAGATTATTTTGAAATTAATGAAGCATTTTCAGTAGTAGCATTAGCGAATTTAAAATTACTTAAATTAGATAAAGATAAAATAAACGTCTTTGGAGGAGCTGTTGCCATGGGTCATCCTTTAGGTTGTAGTGGCGCAAGAATTATTTGTACTTTAATTAATGTATTACAAAAAAAGGATGGTAAAATTGGTGTAGCTGGTGTATGTAATGGTGGCGGTGGCGCTAGTGCTGTTGTTATTTCATTATGTGATTAAGGATAAAGGAAATGAAACATGTATGTATTTCTAAAATTTCTAAATAATGACACGAATTCAATTTATATATATATTATTTATTCATTATTTTGGTACGGCTATATTATACAAAAAAATGTCACTTTTGATTATCTATTAATTAATTTAATAATCCCAACGATTAAAATATTTTTTTTCCTTATATTAAACATTATCTTTGTTTTAATTATTTATTATTTCCTTATTAAAAATTATTGATTTTATAACAGAATTATGTAAACTAAAAGTCCTAGATCATTTAAAAAGAACTTTTAGGTCTTCCAATCTACGTCTGGTAATATCTTGCTTGCTCAATTTTTCGGAAAATGTTAATTCAGCAAGTCGCAACTTACGTTCTTGCAATTGAAGTATGCCTTCTTCCACAGAATTCTATTTATAATATTATTGTTAATAAGAATAAACTATTCCAATATTTATAGAATTAAAATGTAGTCTAATTTACCTTGATAATAAATCTTATAGTATCTACGGCACAAGTTTGGCCAAGACGGTGAATTCTATCGATGGCTTGGTTCTCAACTGACGGATTCCTATTTATGAAAATAAAAAATAAAAAAAGAAATTTAGATGTATATAAGATGAACAATGAAATTTAAATCGTGTATAAATCGTTACCAAAAAGGGTCCATAAGATATACTCGTTGGGCAGCTGTTAAGTTCAACCTATGTACATGGAAATTGTTGAATTAATCTCTCTCACTTTCATAAGATATATATATAATTCATATCCGAGTATCGAACACGAAACGCATATATAAAGAAATTGAACTATTAAATCACAATCAAGCCTTACCCAACGCCACCAGCCTTCAAAGAAACGAGTATGACGCTCACATCATCTTTTTTTTTAAAAATGTTCATATTTTGTGTGCGCTCTGCACGAGGCATCGTGCCATCTAATCGAGTAAATCTGATATCATTTTCGTTTAAAGCATCCTAAATATTATTATTAATAACGTTAATTTGAAAGTTTTTTTTTTTTTTTTTTTATAAATTTATATTTATTATAATATTATTACCTGTATTAAATCTAACATACTGGTCCATTGAGAAAAGACGACGCTTTTCAAACTATCTTTCTTTGCTTGAATCAGATCTTCAAGTAACGCTTTGACTTTGGTACTATGAACCTTCACAGCCTCCTCAGGTATCGTAATATGATCATTCTCAATATCTTTAGAATCTGAAACTTCACAAACATCGCCAGAAAATAATTTCAACCCGCATATTGGACAGTCCGCCAAAAACTTTTGGTCCTCAAATGAGGCTGAACTTAACAATTGACTCATGTTCTTATTAGCACAATCAATGCAAAACAAATGTTCACATCGAGTAACTACAACAGTTTGAACCAATTCCTGTAAGCAAGAACCACATTGATCCAATCCGCTATCTCTAACTATGCTTAGTAACATCAACGCTCTTGTCGGAGTTAGTCCATCGTTGACAATTTCCTCATCTAAATCATCAGGAATATCAGACTCTTTAACTAATGAGTAATGAGCACAAATCTGACGCAATCGTAATAAAGACTGCAAAATGTTAACGTAATGCCGCATAATGTTGTTCTCTTCTGTGAACTTTTTAATCCTTTCAACTTGGGAACGATATATCTTTTCATATAATCTACGCTCGTGGTCACTAAGTTCAAGGTAACGATAATGATCTTTGCGTGGTGGTAAGGCCAATAATGGTTTTCCATTAACTATCTTTGTTCTACGAAGAGTTATACATTTCATTAAAGTTTGTAATCTACTAATACCAACAGGATCGATTGATTTAATTGGGCGTGAAATGTAATGATTCCAGTTTTCCTTAGAATCAAAGGGAACCATGTGAAGAAATTTAATAAGGGCAAATAAATCGTCCAACCTATATACACATGAAAAAAATTATAAATAAATGTAAAAATGGTAATTCAATAATTAAGGAAAACCGTTCACCCACTTGTTTTGAATTGGCGTTCCCGTCAAACACCAGCGTCTTTCCGCCTTCAAAGAGCAAGCAGCCTTACTTTGTACCGTGTTAATATCTTTGATTATATGGGCTTCATCTAAAATTATACGGAACCAATGAATCTGTTGCAAAGCACTATTTATGGTGTTTTTTGATTGTTTGCTATATTCAGTACCAGATACGTTATAGGTTGTAATTACAACATCATAATTTATTAAATGGGAAGGATCTGAAATGCGAGCACCCCCGTGATATACATAAACGTTGAGTGTGTTTTCTTGAACATGGCCAGCAAGTTGTTCTTCCCAATTTGCAACAGTAGAAAGGGGACATATGATAAGAGTCCCTCTAGATCTCAAATCCATGTCTGAATATTCATTTGCTGATTGTTTAGACGGTGATGGTGACTTACGATTATGAGTCTTTTTTGAGGTTGAAGAAGATGATGATATCGATGAATCTGAATTTGAAGAGAGTAATTCTATGGAAGATTCTTTTGCAAATTCTATAGCTTCATTTTGAGTACCAAGGATCAGCGCTATTATTTGTATAGTTTTACCAAGACCCATCTATGACAGAATTGAAAAGTGTAAATATATAAAAGTAAAACATATTGTAAATATAGATATTCACAAACGTACATCATCGGCGATAATCCCTCCTCTCATCTGAATGGGTCTTACTTTGACCTCTGAGTTAGTTACTACATTATAATAGACTGTATGACGTCCAGCGCTAATTCGAGTTCTCCATAATGACGTTAATTCGTTAATTTGATCGTCGGTAAAATCATTGTATTGTTCTCTCTTCATTAGAAAATACAAGGCTTGCTTTTGATGTTTATATAACGTCGTAACTAATCTATCATCTATATTGCAAATTTTGTATTAGATGATGTTGAAAAGACAAAAAAATATAAATAATTGCTGCCTTACCCGGATCTAACTCAGGAATGCTTTCAGCATTCATTAATGAATTAAAAACCTTATCAATTTGATTTTTCATATCTTCCGGTGATCTAGTGGCTGTGGTCCCACTGCTGCAACTTGAATACTCTTTGAATGATTTCGGATTATTTTTATTCAAATGAGTGATACCGGGAGGTAGATTATGTGGATTCACATAACGAGTTTCTACATTATAAACTACTGGATCTGTCAAAATAATCTTCCTATCATAAAGATGTGAGCTCACGGTATCAGTATTAACGGGGCGTCCATATATTACAATATGTAGAGGTATCATCTGATCCTAAAAAATTATTTTTAAATAATAAATCATTTGCCTAATCGTGAACGTAAAAAAAAATAAAAAAAATTATTAAAATGTTGCATACTGAAGGAGACCAATCTTTTGGGATCGTCGCTTCTGTCCAGATGAGTTTATCGTCCATCAATGGAGCCAATACATTAGCTAATTCCTGTTCAACTACTCCGAACTTGAAGGCATTCAAGTATAATTAGATATAGCCTTATATTAATCAAAAAATAAACCGAAAACAAATTGGTAAAGAATTCTTACCAATTCATTATCTTTGTTAACACGAATTACGGCTAAATATCATTTATTAATCATATAATATAAATAATATGAATTAAAGATTCATCATGATCATAATTTTGATTTAAAAAAAAAAAAACCTTGATTTTTTCCTGTAATCCCTTCACGTTTTAACTTCACTACTTCTTCACCTTTGCCACCAGTACAAGGCCTTGGGTATAATATTAATACCAAACTTTCGATCAATCCCCAGCACAAATCTCTGTTGGTTTCTTTTTCGTCGATAATACAATCGTCATCACTATCAGTCGTCAGATCGATAACTTCACCTTGCAGAGCATTATTTGGGGATTGAGAGCTAGTTGTACTGCTAGAACTACTGGGAGAGGGATTGGAAGTAATATGTTGTTGTATTTGAGTAATGGAAGGATTCATAATATATCCCAAATTATAGGGAGGAATGTCAGTATAGTATGGTCTTGGGAAACCTTGTGTATGCGATAAATATTGTGAAGAATAATTTACAGAAACTGGTGGTAGTATTGTATTACTTGATAGTACATAAGAAGGTTGAATTCCATTTGAAGTGGGTGCAGAAGTAAATTCGGGATTTATTATAGTATTATTAGTAAAGAAAGTTGATGAAACCTGTGCCGGAGCCATTGGAGGGGAATTCTTAAAAATTTCTCGAGTACTAGGCAAAGTGGTTTGATTAAAATTATTTGGAATTGATTGAGCTGATATAGACGGTGTTGATAGATTATATTCTTGAACTTCTTCTATTCGACTACGTTTTTGTGGTCTAGTATCAGCAGAAAACGATGGAGAATCACTCCTGATTCCAGGTCGTCGGAGCTTTTTTGAAGCCAGTATAGGACAATAAGCGTTAACAGCAGCAGTTTTTTCTTTTGTTAAATCAATTAACATGTTTACAGCTGCTGTAGAAGGTATAGTGTTCTGGAGGTTTTGATTTGGAATATTTTGATTATTGGTATGATTCATTTTGTTTATTTGGAGTTTGGAAAAAGAAGGATTTATTGAGTTGCTTGAAAGAGATAAAGGTTGTCTTTTCCACAAAATTCCACAACAAAAAGAATTGTAAAGTTCATTCAGCAAAAATGTTTCCCCGAATTTGTCTTTTCCCTAAAGATTTGTTACACTGCATTGCTATTTGAAAGTCAAAAAGTCGCAATTTATATAATTACACTGCGGGTAATCGTAATTCTAATAAAATTCGTCATGTGTTCACTTTTTTTTTGGAAAATAAGTTCCCTCCCATTTTTTTTATTTTTTTTATTAAGTATTAAATAAAGTAAATAAACAAATGTCGAGCAACAAATGGAGAATCGACTTTACAAATCTTTCAGATCAAGCAAGGTATACGCTTTGTGAGAAAATTAAAGTTATATTTTTTATTCTCATTTTTATAGTTTTGCATTACAGACGACGAGAAGTTCGAGGGCAAAATTATGTAATAGATGCGCCGCCTCCACCAGGGTTTACCGCATCTGTTCCGGCTATCACTACTTCTAGTTCTAAAGGGATTTTGGTAGGCTGATTTTTTAATTTTATCCCCCTTTTTTTTTTTTTTTTGATTCCTATTAATATTTTATCGATTTGATTTTATAAGAAAAATAAAAAAGAAGATAAAGACGATAAAGACCAAGAACAATTAAAAATTAAAGTAATGATCAATATTTTCTTTCTTAAATATTTGGAATTATTTATATCAAATTTTTTTATTTTAAGAAAGCGTGGGATGCAGCTTTATCTCCAGGAAAAAACATACCCATGAATGCTTTTATGTTATGGATGAGTGGAAATGGAGTACAGATATTTAGCGTTATGATTACAGGGATGTTATTCTTCCAGCCGATTAAAGCTTTAATGGGGATCGATAGTGGTGAGATTATATAAATGTTAACTTTTTTGTTCCTATGAAACTTTTCGTTTCTAACAAAGTATATTTCTTTAAAGTGTTTGAACGATATGAATCACCAAAAACCAAGCCACATTTAATGTTACCAAAACTTGTTTATGTGATCTTACAACTTCTTACAATGGCCTTAGGATTATATAAATGTTTTTCCATGGGACTTTTACCCACTGCAACTTCTGATTGGCTTGCCTTTATGGAACCAAGACAGGAAATAATATTTTATGATTAAATCAAAACAAATTATTACCTTGATCATATTTTTTTTCGTTACCGACGTTAAAGTTTACCACTTTGGACATTGAAGCGTTCCTCCTCCTTCTTATGTTCAAACGACCTTCTTTGTGAAGAATATAAGAATAAAAAAATCAAAGCAGATCTATAAGGGATCTAATTATAGTGACTGTTTTCTCCCTTAATATGGGCGAAATTTTGAGATTGTAAACGAAGCCATTCTTCAATCAAGTTTTGAAATTTTGAATGATCCCACAAATGAATAAACAATGATCTTGTTTTCTATAGCCTGCACAACGAATTTCTTCGCATATAAAAATTTATTAATATGGCTGCAAGGTAATTATTATTAACTAGCGAGTTAGTTCTTTTTTCCCAGTATCCACCGTATATTTAATGCATATCAGAAGCGAATGCATCATATAAACGTAATTTGTCATACAGAGAATGATGATCATGATGAGTAGATTATTTTTTTATAATTTTTTTAATAAAAAAAGCATAAATAATTGATTTGAAGATTTTTAATATATGATTTTTTTTTTGATATGGTATATTTTTTTTATAATTAAATTAAAGATTATGATAAGCAAATTATGATTTTAGTTAAA